ATTCTATGATTAATTTGCCTGCTTGGAACATGTAATTGCACAGTGCTACAACACTTGCAGCAGATACAAAATGCACTATGCTCTGTACCTTGCTAAAGAAAGGTTAGCTGCTGTTTCAGAAAATACAAAAGATAAGATAGTAAGAAGAGAATGGGAGATGTTTCCTCTGCTTGCAGTAAATCTCCTCCATGATGGCTGCTGAGATTAAAAAAGGAGAATCTTTCTGTTGAAAACACACCAGTGTTTCTGTTTGACCACAGTATCATTGTAACAGCTGCTGCAGTGAACAGACAGGTGGTTTTAGTCCTCTGCATTATTCATCTGAAGATCTGCTCCCATGATTGATACCATTTTTAAGTCCCTTTTTTCCTAAGGAGCATCTTTGGTGCTTTCAAACATTATTTCAGATTTTAACTGTAAAAAATTTATAATAATTATCTTATACATAATTTTATAATAATTTAAACAAAAATAATTATTCAGCATTTTAATTAGCTTTATGCATTAGAGCACTTGGGAGAAGTCTCCGTGATCACTGTAATACTACTGGAGATTTTAAAAGAAATCTGTAACTGTATTCCATAGGCTCTTGTGCTTTTCCATCAGAAAAATTTGAAAATAAATTAATTTCTGATTTAAGCCCAATAAGCAGACTGGAAGGAATATGTTCAGTGCTCAGAAGGCAGCATAATGCTATGTCAGCAGTAAATTCTCAGACCTCTGCCAATGTACTGGAGACCAGATCATGTATGTACTGGCAGCCCATACAGCCCCTTGCTCTGGTCACTCTTCCCAACTTCAAGTGTTCTGTGGCATTTAAAAGTCATTTAAGAGCCTTCAGTTTCAACAGAAAAGCAGAACTATGAGATCTATAGCACATACCCAGCACTATCAGCTGTCTGCTGTGTTTGAACAACTACTAGTGCCCCGAGGACTTTGCCTGGCTGGAGCTGCTAGCAGAGCACAGATGTGCCTTTGTGTCTCACCCGTGAGGGTTTGAGACTTGGCTCAATTTTCTAAAGCACCAGGCTAGTGTCATACACACTCAGGAGACTCACCTGAAACGGTTTATACAAAGATAAATGTTTACAATGTGATGCTACCTGGAAGCAGGAGCTGCAGAGCTGAAGTCCATGAACCCCATCAGAGCTGCAGGTCTGCAGTGGGGTCTGGTGCTGGTAACAGCAGCAGAGCTGGCTCAGGACTGGAGGTGCTGGGACAAACCAGGCAACACCAGCAGAAAGAACTGGAGAAGACATGGGAGCAGCAACGCCTCGGTGCCAATGCATAATTTCCCTTCTGTTCTGGAAGATTGCTCTCTCTGCTTCATAAGGGAGTACAAGAACGACCTCATTTCAAGCAATAAATCAGTGGCAGTGGCTGAAAAGTTACATGTCTGATCATGCCCAGCCTAATGCTTGAGTAAAACTGCTGAAGAGTTACGTGTTACTTGAGCTGTGCAACACAGCTATGTCTTGTAGGAGAGCAGGAAATGAAGCTACTATGCAACAAAGAGTCTGCTGGGGCAGCATATATGAGCCTTGTTTGATTTCTGGAGGCATTTTTGGAAGTTACACTCAATACTGCACCCCAGATAACTGTTTTCTTAGCAGTCGCCTCAGTCTTATGTTAAAATCCATACTGTGAAGTTGAGGACAATGTGTTTGGGAGGAGTGTGTCATACTGGAGATGTGACTCCCAGCTGTCCCTTCTCCTATGCACTTCTGCTGGTGGTGAAACACAGTGAATGCTTAGATGGTTGGGGTCACCTAAAATATGTGTTTCAGGGAAGCATCTCCTTAATAGCGAAGCAATTGGAAGGGTTTGGAGTTGGTGGTGAGCAAACCAAGTCCTCATTCTGCCTTAGCTATTCAATATATCACAGATGGATCCTTTGGTGTCTTTACCAGAAACCAAAAAATAGACCTGACCCTATTTGTGCCAATGTCAGGCTGCTCTGAGCTGGGGGAGCAACCAGGATGAGGAAACAATTTTAACGAAAATGCCATCACTAAATCTTCGATAGCTGTATCTGAGCTGTGCTGGGTGACACTGAAAGGTCAGGGAAACTAGTCATAGATCCAAGGTCAGTCCTAGGGTTGCATGATGAACTGAAAAGGAGCTTTTCTGCTGGAGCTATCACTGGGTTGCAATATCACCAGTGATAACATTCATGGCTTGTGACTTATGAGCACTGTAAAGATCACAGAATCACAGAGGTACAGGGTCTAACAAAAATACTGGCTGATACGAAGAATGAATGAATGGAGGTGCATGTGAAAGCACCAGAGGAAACAACAGAGCAGCGGCTAAAACAATGGTACACACTAAGAGCCAAGAACATTGTTAAACGCAATAAAACTGGGAACGGTGCTGTTTACACCCCCAAGGCCTGCACTCAGCTAAGACCCAGCACCAGTGACCTGTGCCCTGAGAGCAGGAGCATGGCCAGCAGGCCATGTCAGCCTGTACACACCTGCCTCCTTCCTCTCATTCCAAAAGGGGGAGGAGGCTGAGAAGACACCCAAAATGGAGGACAAAAAAAAAAAGAATAGAGAGAAAAAAACCCACCCGAGATTCATGGAGCACCAGGTAAGCAGAATTCGGAGGCAAAAAGATGGCAATAGCAAAGCTGCTGTCTGTGAGATGCACAGCAGACATGACCAAAACCCACTGTCACCACCGACTGAAAGCAGAGAAAGTGAGGATGGGACAGCTGAAGGTCCTTCTGCTCTGATTTTGGGCATACACCTGTGCTCATGCATCTTGGTGCTTGCAAGTATTCAGCTGTGATACTGTAAGTGGATAAAATCTGAGAACATAAATTTGAATATAAAATGAGTTTATGGAGGGCTTTTGCAAATAAACAACCACCGTCCTCCTCCAGCAGGATCTTGCACTGAGCTTTCTTGCAGTCATTTTCTACAAACATCACCTCACATGGCACATTGTGTTTACCAACACCAAAAGGTACACAGCTTAGGAATAGAAGAATTTTCTTAGACTTCCATAGTCTGGACAGAGTTAATGGAGAGGTACTAAACACTGCTTTTTACAGCTGCCTTTTGGTCTGTGTACTGCTAAATGGCCCAACACAATGATACAACGAACAGGGGCTAAAAACCAGAGAAAGATAAACATTCATCTCACAGGGGACTAAAACAAGACCTACAACTGATTTTGTAAACCCATCATTAATAATTAACCCCATAGTCTGGACAGAGTTAATGGAGAGGTACTAAACACTGCTTTTTACAGCTGCCTTTTGGTCTGTGTACTGCTAAATGGCCCAACACAATGATACAACGAACAGGGGCTAAAAACCAGAGAAAGATAAACATTCATCTCACAGGGGACTAAAACAAGACCTACAACTGATTTTGTAAACCCATCATTAATAATTAACCTAGTCCTTTGATGTAAAAAATACAGGTGAGTCAGTTACTTGCACTGCCTGAGAATACGGTCCCAAACATTCTTACTGTGCTATGAGAAGACCCAAATGCCTCTGAAAGAGCAGCACACACTTATATAGCCTCTTGAGGGAGAGCTGTGCATTTCGGGGGTGAGTAAAACACAGCATTTGGCCACTGATAAAAGAACTTGTTTTGCCAAAGTGCAGTGAGGCAGAAGACCCAGTGTGACAGGAAGGACTGAAGTGAGAAGAGGAAACTGTAGATAAGCCCAGCGTATCACACAGCTTCGCGCTGCCACCTCTGAGAGCAGAGCCCTGCCTGTGGCACCCAGCACGGGCACAGAGAGCAGACAGTGAATGCTCCTGTTTCTATGGAGAGTGGGTGGCACTGGGAGCTGTGTGATACCAGTCTGTGAGATGTTTTTGTACCATATTATGGCTGTATTATCATGCTAACTGCGGTGCTGTCTCCCGGCACTCCCTGCTGAGGTTTTCCACCTATTTTTCATCAGTGTTGGAGGTGTCACCGAGTGGACTGGTCTCCTCCACCAATGTTACACACCACTACAGCTCAGACCTGGAGGACAGGACATCACAAAAACAGAGTTGTTGCGAATGTTCACAGCCAGAGAGGGGAACTGCTTTACCATGTTAGTGATTCAAAAAAACCAAAACCGACCCCTCAAAAAAAAAAAAGAAACCCAACCCCAAACCCAAAACAAAAAAAAAAAGCCAATCTGCTGGGTTTTAGAAAAGAAACTGCTACCTTGGTCGGGGTGAGGAGCATCCCTGTAGGTAGAGCGGCACACAGCGTGCCGGGGCAGAAGGGCAGGGGGGGCAGAGCCGCTTACCTGGCCAGGGTGCTCTTCCCGGCGCCCG